CTTCCTGCTTCGTCAAACCCTAAGAGACTCCTGCTTCTCTTGTGGAGAAGTGAGGCCTAGAGCAGGGAAGTGTAGGCAAGTTTTAACTAGGAAACCCTGAGCTGCAATCCTCAGGAAGGTGGTAGGTTGTGTGAGGTGGAGGGGTAGTCAGACGACAGCTTCTGTATTGCTGTGCCTGATAACAGCCTGTTAATATTTTATCAGTGATCACATCACAGCATGTGGGGAGCCACCACTTAGGGCCAAAGAGAGAGATAACCTGCTGGACTTCCTGTTTGAGGTCTCCCCTGCTCCTTCCCGTTGAGATAACAGAACTTCTCATCAAAGCTGGGAGCCGCTCGCCCGGGGAAGCGAGACCAGGCTAGGCGAAGGCCAGGCTTCAGCCAGTTGAGGAGGAGCCCATGGGCTTCCCAGCCCGGGGCCTCCATGTCCCGGAGTGGGCAGCTACAGGCACGAAAGAATACCCCGTCCGTGAGCCTAGGGCTGAGTGGGAGAGAACAGTTGACCGTGCGAGGCCTCAGTTGGCTTCCTTTAGCACTGGGCCCCTCCTCTCTCCTCTCTCCCTTCTCCCACATCTGTGTTTGTCCTCTGTGCCAGAGCCAAAAGGCCTCAGGTTACCTGGATGGGCACTGCCTCTGCTGCCCCCAGCAGTTTCCGGGAGCCCTGCCCAGGAGAAGGAGATGAGGGGGGAGGGGCTGAGCCCCAGTGTCAGTCTTGCCGTTAGAGCCACTTAGGGTGTCCCAGGAGCTCCTAGGTTCGCTGTGCATTGTAGCCCTGCTTCCTCCTTAGCACTGCCCTCTCCCCTATTTCTCTATTTCCCATGGCCCATCAGCTGGAGGAAGCAGTTTCTTTTGATCATCCTTCCCCCAGAAGCTCAAGTAGTTGCCAGACCCTCATTTCCTATGGGCTGGGATTTGAGGGGATTCACAAACCGTTTTTAACTAGCCCCTGACGCACCCCATCTTACGACACCTTTTCCTTATCTCTCACAGGACAGACCATATCGCGCCTGGTACCACAGGTAGGTGTGCATGTCTTATGTCTCCCTTAGATCAACTGCAGCCTCCTACGAGGCACAGATTTTACCTTGTTCACCCTTGTCACCCTCAAAGCCTTCAGCACATTGCCTGCCACCAGGTGAGAGCGCAGTTAGTGTGGGCCGGCTGGTAGCTCGCCGGCTAGAGTGCTAGCTGAATGGCTGTTTGACTGGCTGAATGCAGGTCTCTCAGAGAGCTGGAGTTTGTCTTTCCACCAAGAAGCCAGTTTCGGCCTCCTCCTCCCCTGTTAATGATCACATAGCAGTGGGTCACTAGGGCCCCCAGGGGGAGAAAATGTGAGTCACGCCATTATCAGAGGAATGAGGGAGGGCAGAAACATCTCTCCTTGTGCAAGGGTCAGAACCACGAGGCCAGGGAATAAACACAATGGCCTTCACTATCCCCTGGGTCTGTGGCTAATCTAAATTACTTTATGATGGAAGGCAATGGGGTGAGCTGAAAGCTGTTCAACTTGGACCCAGACTCTGGGAAACTATCTAGAGCAAGGCTTTTCTTGCTCAACCAGCCAAAGAGAACAGTTGATCTTTATCAGGTCTGCCTTAGTTTTTCTACTTGAGGATGAACTTCTAACTCCTTCCCTAGAATCCTCCCAGATTAAAAGGAAGGAGGACCTCTCTCAGCCAGCCTCAGCCTAAGAGGAAGGGAAGCTCTGTGCCCTATTTTCCTCAAAAGCCCCTACACTGCGGTGACAGACAGGGGCAGGGGGGCAGCAGCAATCTGAAGGCAAAATCCCAGACCCGTGTTGCTGTGCGAAGAGTTTCCAAGCTTATGTTCAGACTCTGACACTCTGTGGCTTCAGGGAATTTACTCACCTCCCCGGGCCTCCGTTTTGTCTCCTGTAAAAGACCTGCTTCACTGGGGGTATTTGGAGGATGCAGTGAAATCGTGGGTCTGAACGCGCTTTGGCTGCCAGGTGGTGGATCATCAGAGCCCGTATCAGACTGCTGCCCACTCAGCACAGCAGAGTCAGGAAGGCAAATCCATTTTCCAGCCTCCGTGGCCCCCAGTCAAGGACTCCGGGTTTCCTGGTACCAGAGCAGAGGCATGACCTCTTATTAAACTTCTGTCCAAAGAGCCCTTTCTCTCCACCCTCACCCCTACCTGCCACTATTCCCTCTAAATGGGCTTGGATGCTGCGGTCCTAGCGTCTGCAACAAAAAAGGCCCACCTCAGGAATGCAAGTGTAGTGCCTCTTATAACAGGCTCCTTTGCGTTGAGGCCCGCTAGGTCTGGGGACTGGGGAAGCTGAGACTTGTAGGGCTCCAATCTTGTCAGTGTAGCCACAGTTAACATGTTTAAGAATCAAGCTTGGTTAATTCCCAGTGAGGTTAGAACAGGGCCAAATCACTGGCCTCCCAAACTCCTACACCTCCAGAGGTAGAGGAATTGGAGCTAAGGTGTCATGTCTTATTCAAATGTAAGCCTGGCATCCCTGGGATGGGACAGCTAGCTGGGCCAAGGCTGGCCCAGTGGCCAGCACAGCAGGAGGGGCAGTTCCAAGTGGTTCACTCGGTGAATTGGGTCTGTTCTCCCAGATTCCCCTCACGGGAGACCCGGAGAGCGTATGTGTCCCCGATGTTACCTTGCTGGCCACACACGTTGTTTTCCTCAGACAACTTGGGACCTCTGGCAGACTCGTCGTTTTGGCTGTGAATATTGTTGGATCGGCAATGTCCTGTTTTGGGAGTCAGGAGACTGGGGCACTAACACCAGCCGTGTGGCCCTGGGAAAATCTCTTTACTGATGTGGGCCTCAGTTTCCCCATCCGCCAAATGGAGATTTTCTGATCTATTTCACATTCCTCATAATGGTGGCTCAGAGCTGAATGGAATAAACACATGGCCTTTTTTTTTTTTTTCTTTTTTGCGGCACGCGGGCCTCTCACTGCCGTGGCCTCTCCCACCGCGGAGCACAGGCTCCGGACGCGCAGGCCCAGCGGCCATGGCTCACGGGCCCAGCTGCTCCGTGGCACGCAGGATCCTGCCGGACCGGGGCACGAACCCGCGTCCCCTGCATCGGCAGGCGGACCCCCAACCACTGCGCCACCAGGGAAGCCCAACACATAGCCTTTTAACAAATAAATGAAACAACTGTTGTGAGACGGGAGGATCCCTGGACGTTATGAAAAGGTTAATGTTTCCCTGGGGAGAGGGAGGGTGTCCTGCTTTCTTTCTTTTTATTTTTTTTTATTTTAATTTAAATTTTTTAAATTTACTTATCTTTGGCTGCGCTGGGTCTTTGTTGCTACGCATGGGCTTTCTCTAGTTGTGGGCTTTCTCTAGTTGTGGGGAGCGGGGGCTACTCTTTCGTTGCGGTGCGCAGGCTTCTCATTGAAGTGGCTTCTCTTGTTGTAAAGCATGGGCTCTAGGTGTGCGGGCTCAGTAATTGTGGTTCGCAGGCTCAGTAGTTGTGGTTCGCGGGCTCTAGAGCTCAGGCTCAGTAGTTGTGGCTCCCGGGCTTAGTCGCTCCGCGGCATGTGGGATCTTCCCGGACCAGGGATCGAACCCGTGTCCCCTGCGTTGGCAGGCAGATTCTTATCCACTGCGCCACCTGGGAAGCCCTGTGTCCTGCTTTCTTAACGTCTCCAGTAAAGTCTAGAATTTTCTATCCACCCAGTGGGGAGAAAGGCCAATTTCCATTCTACCCTCCCCTTCGCCCAATTCCCTCAGTCACACCTGCCCTGTCTGAATTAATTTGTATTAATAAAACAGTTACTCAATCAACAAGTGTTTATTGATCGCCTACTGTGTGCCCAGCACTCTTACAGATAGTCTTGGAAATATAGACAAGTCTGAGATATGGCCCCTACCCTCCAAGAGTTTACAATGTACTCGTGAAATCAGTTACATGCACATGGAAAGATAAGTATCCATCAAAAATTGTGAATGATAAGCATCAAAGAATGAGTTTTATACTGAGGGTTAGAGGACGGAGGGGTAGGGTAGGGACGGAGTGGTCAGTGGAGGCTCAGTGAAGGAGGGGTGCCGAGCAACTTCTCCAACATGAGGAAGACTTGGCTAAGGGGAAAGGGCCTTCCCACTTAGGGCAGGAGCTTAAATATAGGCAAGAAGGTAGAACTGTGAAAGGCATGTCACAGACAGTCACTGGGCCCCTCCTGCTGGCACTGAGGTTTGGGGAGGTGTACTGGAGTTTGTCAGAAGCTGGTCATGGTCAAGCTTTCGGTTTGTTCGTGACTCCCACCCCGCCCCGCCCCCCCAGGGGAAATGGGGCATTTTTAGACCTTGGAGCTGGAACCGGCTGCCTGGGAATCATTCTCGACTCTTCCATCTCAACTGAAATCCCAGGCAGCAGCTCAGCTATCACTCAGATGAGGGCCTTCTAGCAGCTCTACCATATCTGGTGAAGGATGGTGGAGAGAATATGGAGGTGGCTGACAGGGGGCCCATCTGGGGCTGTGGTCTGTCAGAGACTCTGCAGTGCTCTGTGGGCAGACCCCGGGGGCCTGATCTCAGCCTTTGGGCTGATTCTCCGTTAGGCCTGAAGACTCTCTGGGGGCTGCCTCTCTGGCCCAATAGAAATACCCACTGAGGTTCCCACACATGTCCACCCAGCTTCTTAGATACCCAAGTTCTTATTCTCTCTCGGGCAGCATCAAGGAGTGGTGCCTTCCTGAGTCCCCACCTGCTCCCATGCTGTCATCCCCCAGCCAAGGGCCATCTCTACAAAAACCAGTTTCCTGTTCCTAAAGAAACCATTGTGTAGGCCCTTTAACCTCGTTGTTAGCCAGGTCAAAGGGAGGCAGGGGCTTCAGTGAACGTTGGAGCTGGAGCTTCTGAGGGAGTTCCTCAGTAGAGTCAGAGTCTGCTGCCACCTTGTGCGTCCCACCACAGTTTCTTTCCTTGTGCTCTCCTCTAGCCGGGGGCTAGAGTCCTGGGCCATGATTCTGCTCTTTTTTTTTTTTTTTTGGTCCTTGGCTTCTTCTCCGAGGCTGCCCTCCCCGTCTCATTCTACACCCAGCTGCTCTCTGTTCCCTCCATACTGTGGGATGGCTTTATTTCGGTTCATACACAAACCAGTCTAGACACTGTGGAGTCATAACAAGAGTGGGATGGACGAGGCTCCAGGGCCCATTACTGGCCAATCAGTTTCTCTGCAGGGAGGCTTGAGAAGGAGGTTAGCGCCATGCCCACGGAACCCGCCACTTCTTCCCACCCACCCCCATCCCCCAGCAATGAGCTAAGAGCCAACCTCAGCAAGAGGAAGGGTCTTTGATCACAGAGAGGGTCAGTCAGTGGCATGTGATTAGTGGGTTTGGGGATGGATTCCCAGGTAAAGCAGAAGGTAAAGGGGAGACTCTGGGGCCTGGCCTCAGGGGGGAGTGGAGTGGAGTTGAGGGTTGGGGACTCAGGGTGGGAGATGGGGAGCCAGGATGAAGGAAACAGAAAGTCTGACTTGACAAGCATCTTGACAGTTCAGCCTGCACGCTGTCACACCAGCTCCCATTCCTGCCTTTGCTCGATCCAGTGGCCAAAGTCAGTCTATCCTCAGCAGCACCTTCTGACACGATCCAGTGGCAACGTCCCTCACCTGTGGCCCTGGGGGAGGCTGTCTACTGGTTTTCACAGACCCAGCCACCCCCGAGCTCTGGCCCCTGGTCCTTCACACATACCCTGTCAGGCTGTAGGAGTTAAACTCACTCTTGCCTTTGGGTGGTTGACCAGGCCTTGGAGAGCTCCTAGTGGCCAGGGGCTGGGCCTGGTAGGCATCGTAGTAGTTGGACCGATTTCCCCGGGGCGAGCAGGAAAAGCAGAGGATGATTCCAGCTACCAGGGAGAACAGGGAGGAAATAATGCCCAAGTAAAGAGCCTCTCCGATCTCAAATTTCATGCTGTCAGGCACCAGTGGGGAGTAGAAGTCCCGCAAGATCCCGTGAAGATTCCAGACAACAGGGATGAAGCCCAGGAGGCCTCCAAGGATGAAGAAGACTCCGCCCACCACCGCCACTCTGTCTTTGGCTCGGGACTCTTGGCAGAAGACTGTGCATCTCATGCCCACCACAGAGACAATGCAGGCCAAGGAGGAGATTGCACTGGACGTCACCATCATGGCCTGGGCAGCCTGGATGTCAGCAGGCAGGCCCAGCATGGTGCTGTAGATGTCACACTGGGTGATGCCTGTGCTGTGTGTGGCACACTCCATCCAGAGGCCCTTGGAGAAGCCGACTGCGGTCACGATGCTGGCACCGACGTAAGAGCTTGTTCGCCAGCTGGGGAGTAGCATGGCAACCAGGGTTCCCAACAGCCCCAGCAGGCCCAGGATGTAGCCCACAAGTTGGAGGCCAAGAGAGGCCATGGCAGACCTCTCAGTAGACGCGTCTTCAGGGCCTGCTCCCTCGTCTTCTGGCTGTAGCTCTTCCTCCTTAGATCCCGGGCTCTAATCCCTCATTTCAGAGTGTCTGTGCCAGGCCGACTTCTCTCCTCCTTACAAGTGTCTGTGGGTGGCCACGGGCAGGCTCAAGAAGGCATCTAGAAGACCTAAAAAAAATCCATAAACCAGATTAAATATTGACCAGAAGCTTATGAGAAACCAGAAAATGCTGGATGCCTTTTGACCTTTGTTATCTTCTTTAGAAATAACACATGAGAAAGAAAAAAAAAAACTTTGAAAGTGGAGCCAAAATGTCATCGGCTCCTGCGTAGGTACATGCTTTAGATTGGCAGCCAGACAAAGCCAGGGGCCAGACAAGTGGCTGCTTTCCAAGAAGGTGGTGATGCCATTGTCGGTTGTGGTGACTGTGTTAACTCCAGGTCAGGCTGTAGGCTGGCTCCGCCTCCAAGGCATGCTGTTTAACGCATTACCTGGCAACAGTGCTACGGGGCCCCTCAATTGCACACCGGTGCCAAACCCCAGGAGACTGGAGTAGGAGAAACAGACCCTAAGGTATAGCCTTGGACTCTAGGTTCTTAGAGGCCTCTTGAATCTCCAGCAGCCTAGAGAGCAATGGTCTAGCCCTGGGTCATCCTGCCCACGGTGAAAGTTGACTCCAGGGCAGGTTGAGGCAGGCAACGAAGCATCTGTCTACAGTCTCAGAGTTCAAGTCCTCCCAGCCCTGCCCAAATCCCCCTCCACAGGCTAGCCTGAGGCCTCCCACGTGTATAACACACCCAGACATTTCCTGTCTGCTCTCCTAATAGTTGCGCCACCATCCCTAGGCCTCTCGGGTGATGTGGGAGGATTCAGGATTCAGAAAAGGTTGTTCCAGGGCCCGGAGGGAGCCCTGACATTCCCTAGGCTCTTTGTTAGGGGCACTGAGACAAAGGAAAAGGTAGCTGCTCTAGAATAAGGGGACTTGGTAAGAGGCAGGCATGTGAGTCAATCCTTTAGAATCTCAGAGCTGTTCAGGATTTTGCAGTGTTCAATAAGCGTCCCCCTCTCACCGCCCCCAACACTTATCAAGGTTCAAGACACTAAAGGTCAAGGGCACATCCTTCTCTCCATCCACTACAAGACCCTCCAACCCACTAGTTTTTCAAGCCACCACAAGCTGGCTATTCCATTTTAGCCTTCTTCAAGATTTCTCTTTCTGTAATCATCTCTTAAATGTGAGTATTCCTCAGAAATCCATCCTTTGCTCAATGTACACTCTGTCACTGAGCAAACTATCCACCCCCATGACATAACCTCCTACCCACCCACTGGCACTCCCAAATCTGCATAGACCTTCCTCCTGAGCTTTGAGACTTCCAGAGCAATCACCTATTTAAAATGGCCACCTGGGGGCTTCCCTGGTGGTGCAGTGGTTGAGAATCCACCTGCCGATGCAAGAGACACGGGTTCGAGCCCTGGTCCGGGAAGATCCCACATGCCGCGGAGCAACTAAGCCCGTGCGCCACGACTACTAAGCCTGCGCTCTAGAGCCCGCGAGCCACAACTACTGAGCCTGCGTGCTGCAACTATTGAAGCCCACACGCCTAGAGCCCCTGCTCCGCAACAAGAGAAGCCACAGCAATGAGAAGCCCGTGCACCACAACGAAGAGTAGCCCCCGCTCGCCACAACTAGAGAAAGTCCACGCACAGCAACAAAGACCCAACACAGCCAAAAATAAATACATAAATAATAAATAAATAAAATGCATTTAAAAAAATAAAATAAAATGTGCACCTGGAAATTTCACAGGCATCTCAAATTGGACATGTTCAAAAGAAGACTCATCACCTCTCCCATTGTACCCCTCCCCAAACAGTTCTTCCGTGGGTTCCCTGTGGTCACTGAGTGACACCTCTATTTATCTCCTTGCACCAGACCCAAATCCTGGAAGTGATTCTTGACACCTCTCTCACACTTACCACTCACCTTCTACTGTCACAGTCTCACCAATTCTTGAAGATACCTCAAATCGATGGCATCCTTCTCTCCATCCCCACTGCTACCTCCACAGTCCAGGGCTTCATCATCCTCTCTCCTCTGGACTATAGCAACGGTTTCTTAACTGGTCTTATTTCCAGTCTTGCCCCCTCCAATTCGTTCTCCATGCTGTTGTTAAGGTGATCTTTCAGCACTAATCTAATCAAGTCTCTGCTCTACATACAACATTCCAGTTGGCTCCCCATCGGCTAAAGGATAAAGTCCAAAACGTGTCTGGACTCTATGACCTGTCGAACTTCATCTCTTGCCATTGCCCTCCGCATGTTCTATGCTCTTGCTGAACTAAGTTACTTTGAGTTCCTCAATCATGTCCTGTTGCCTTTTGCTTCCAAACCTGACCACAGGTTGTTCCTACTATGCAGAATGCCTGGCATTCTTTTCTCTCTGTTTAGCACCTTCTCATCCTTTAGGACTCAGATGTCTTTTACTCTAGCCTGGGTCAAGTTCCCATCCTCTGTGTTCTTATGGTATCTTGTCTTTACTTACCTCCATCATAGTAATGCTACTACTACTAATACTACTAATAAAATGGCAACACTAACATAGTGTATCCTATGTGACCGTTATAAGCACTTTATACATGTTAATTCAATCATCACAACAACGTCTTGTGGTAGGTACTAATCCCTATTGTATAAATAAGGAAACTGAGATACAGATAATACTTATTTCACTATGTTGCACTCTCCTCTTTATATCCTTATTCTTCCCCACTAGTCTGTGAGCTGCTTGAGGGCAAGGACTGTATCTTATTCACTTTGTATCTCCAGTGCCTTGCACAGTGCATTACCCACCCATTACACACCCAAAGCCAGTGTTCAAAAATGTCCTCTTAATGAGTAAATAAAAGTGATAAAGAGGTTTCAAGGACTATAAGATATAGACTTTCTAAATGAGTCAATGACACTTCAGTGTAAGAGACCAGGGCTGTGCAATTTTGGGAAAGAAGATTGAGAGAGAGGATCAGAGGAAAAGAAGGGAAATGAAGAGGGAGTGGGGAACACAGGAGAGAAAGAGAGAGAGGGAAAGAGAGAGAGAGAGGGAGAGAGAGAGACACAGTTCCACCATTTTATAGGTTTGTGCATATGTTGACTATCTTGTCTCTTCAACCAAATTCTAAACAATTTGAGGGAAGAAATCATATATGAAACCTCTGTTGTGCCTCCATAGCATTGGGCACGTGGTTGATAGTCAACACTACTCATCAGTGATGGACATAACAATGCCAGTGTGGATGCCAAGCAGTGCAAAGCAGGGGCAAGAAAACACTTGACGGGAGGTATGGAGGGAAATCTACTTGAATCTCATCTCTGTCACTCATCAGTGGGGACACTGCAAGTCTTTTCCAGCCATTGGTTTTCTTACTGCTAAAACGGGCACAATTCTACCTGATCATGATTGTGCATCTCTGTGGGGCCTTCAGAGCTGCTTGGAAGTCCTTCTGCTTGTCCCTGGTGAGCATCTGCTGGTGACCACTTCAAATGCCTACCACTCTCTTTGAGCTTCCTACTCTACCTATGCGGCTATCACCCTCTCCTCATCATTCTCTTTGCAGCCAAGGTTCTTAAACAAGCCATTTAATGCCGATGTCTCTACTTCTTCCCCCTCCCACTCACTGCTCAACCCTCTGAAGGCAGGCTGCTGCTGTTAGCCCTCCACTGAAAATGTTCTCACTAAGGTTACCAACAATTTCCTTGCCCCAAATTCAGTGGTCCTATCTCTGTCATCTCACCTTGTCCCTCTCCTTCATAAAACTGTCTTCTCGTTTTCTGTAACATCCCTCCCAGTTTTCCCAGCTCCTCAAAATGATTCCTCCAGGGTCTCCTCTATAACTTCCTCCTTTTCTACCCACTCTATAAATCTGACTATTCCCCCACCCCAGGGTTTCAGCTAGAGTTCTCTTCTTATTCTTTACATCTTCCATGGGTGACCTCATCCACTCCATCTCTATGCCAATGACTCCTGAATCTACATAACTGGCACAGATCTCTCTCCTGAACTCAAGATGTGTGTATGCAACTGCCTTTGGAATGAGCCCATCTGAACGGTTTAATGGCACCTCAGACTCAACATTTTGCAAAGTTGAAATCATATTCACTCTTCTCTCTCCACTCCCAAACTATTCCTCACACAGTGTTCCCTATCTCAATGGGACTATCACTCATCCAGCAACCCAAGCCAGTCATCCTTGTTTCCTAACCTCTACCTGACCTATAGCCAGTTATGAAGTCCTATCAGATCTACCTTCAAAATACATCTTGAATGCATCCACTTCTTTCCATCTGTACTGCCTAGACTTTGGTTCAAACGCTGTATTATCTCTGTCCAGTTGGAAATCTCATAGGCACCTCAAATTGGTCTCTCTAATTCTACTTCTGCCCCGCCCCTGCAATCAATTATCCATCCAGCAAACAAGGATCTTTCTAAAATGGAAATCGAATCATTAGTATCACCCCAGCTCTTTGCCATGCTTAAAAAATTTCAGAAAAAAAAAAAAAATTCAGGACCTCTTCATTGCTTTCATGATGAAGTTCAAACTCTCTAGCTCTGGAAACCAGGAAAGCCCTCCAATGTCTGACTCCTGCTTTTTGTTCCAGGCTCATCTCGCACGAATAACCTCCACCCTCATGTTTTATGCTCCAATGTGCATGTACGCGCGCACACACACACAATCTAACCATACCTGAACATGTGTCCTTATCTGAAGTTGCCTTTCTCTGTGTCTCCAAACCCTTAAGCATGCTATTCAACCATCCAACATTTGCGTGGGTAATTGCTAGTCATCCTTCAGGACTCATCCTCTCCTTGAAACCTTCCTTTAACCACTCTTCCCACCCAAGCTGGCTTAAATACTTTCCCTTTGTACTCCCTATCCATATCTAAGCTTTCAGTGAGGGTTGGTGAGCTGCCTTAAGGACTTGGGATGGTGACATAAGAGCCCAGCTTAGGTTTCCCATGGGAGTCGACAGTGACCCCAAGAGGAAAACCTCTCCCCAGAGCCAATCCTGACTCAGTAGGAGGAAATAGGAAAGTGGTTTGGGGCAGGGGGAAGGCAGAATTTTAAAAATGCTATTACTGAGGCTTGGAATCTCTAAAGAGTCTGACGTAGCAGAGCTGAGCAGGAGGAAGAACAAGTCTTTGGAGCTTATTCAACTGGGAGAAATGGCCCAATGGGGTCAGCTTTCAGCCAGGGTCAGGAAGGCAGGGGTGGACAAAATAGGTAGTGGTTGAGTGATGAGCCAGTCTAGATTCTGCTTTGATTTGTGTGATGAGCAGTAGAGGGTTTAGAGAACCAGTCCTGGCCTGAGAACCAA